GAGAGAGAGAGAGAGAGAGAGAGAGAGAGAGACCCTATTGTATGATTTGGTAATGAAGGCTACAAGTGCTGGCACTGGTATAGACGGGTGTCGTGTCCACTACTCTCTATATTTAACGCACGACCGCTTCATTCGACAAACCGATCAACACTTTTCGTTTGGATGAGTGAAAAACAAATCAATGTTTTTGTCTCATCATAGATATCATCATTATTACCATCATTATTATCACATCCACCCGAAACTATACGCCATTACCCCACATACCAGCGCTCATTATAAACACTTATATAAATTACTATATCTTATATCATACACACAATGAACTAAACAACTTGGTGTTAAGTTTAGTGCCCAAAATAACTATCTTAATTAATAAGTTGAAACCCAGAAACTTGTGATTTTAATTATTTCAATCTCACCTTGTTAGTTCTCTCTCTCTCTCTCTCTCTCTCTCTCATATTAAATGATTTATTGTTAGCTCAATATATAACTGTATATACCATTAAAACGTAGTGTAAATTGTGTTTATTTTTTCAAAATATATAACTATTATTTAATGTATATAATGTTCACACATATAATCTAATATACGTTTACAGTTATTTCGCTCACCAATTGTATAATGTTTTTGGATGTTTTCAAATGATATTTAGTTGTTATCCATTTTTATTGATAAAATACAAATAGTTTATAAAAAAATTATATGTTTTGTTGTTATACAAAAATGGTAATGATTTTACACTATAATAGTATTATTTATAACAGAATATTCTTTAAAATATATTGTTATATAGATATATAAATATAATGACATGTTTTTTCATTGATATCGCTCACAATTTTAAGGAATATTCTTCCGGTTTATATATAATAAATAAATATATAGTTGATTAAAATACATGTTACTAATATTATTTAATTGTAAATAAAATTTGTAATGAATTGTTTGAATTAAAATTCTACATGTATTTTAAATGTTAGCACAAAATGAAGGACACAACACAAATTTCGACACAAAAATTTGTTACAAGATTTGTTTAATTTTAAAATCATATATTGAGAGGAGAATAGGGTTTAGGAAAAACAAAACTACTTTAAAGTGAATGGAAAGAGCACAGGGAATAAAAGTGCAAATCTTTAACCTAGGATTTAATTAGTTTAATTTGCCATGTGCAATGATTTTAAAAATATAACTTACAACTTACTTGTTACAGTATTTTATTTAGAAAAGCAATCTAATTTATTTGTTTCTATTCAGTTTACATTTATTTAAATAGTATTATTATTGTATAACATATAAAATGTTATTCACAAGTCACAAATGGAAAATTAAAAAGCACACTAGTTAAATATTTAAACAGGATGAGATTAATGTCATAGATGAGAAAATTTTATCTAACATATAAAATAAATCTAAATGAGTATCTATTAGATAGACCATTATAAATTATAATTTTTAATTAACAACACAATAGTTTGTCACTAATTAAAAACACATCATCTCTTTTCCCCGAGAAGTGTCCAGTGTTTGCACAACTCATTCATCGATAGCCGAATCGATAGACTTTTACTTTCATAACATATTATTATAAAACATTTTTTAAGTCCATTTTAAATAATATATTTTCCACTCAATAGTGATTTTTCTCGCAAATCAAATGATATAATGTCTGAATTTTAAGTCTCGTTTGTTTTTCAATGGGATTAATATTAAGAAATGTTTATTTGATTTTTATATAATCAATATTTAATTGTAATATAAATAAATACTATTATTATTTTAACAAATCACAGTATTTGTGTCAAAAAATAATTTCATGTATTTGATTTTAATTTATGGTCGTTTTAATAAAATATTTATTTAATAAACCTGCATCAAAATTGATTTAATTTGATAACAATAATAGTAAAATATATTTTCCAAGTTATAATTTATAAAATAAAAATACATTTAACTCTTAAATCACTTGATATTATATATAATTAAATAGATTTCTAACAACATTTACTAAATCACTTAATGGGAAATGTTTTGTAACAAAATCATTAAATAATAACGACTTTTATGGCAATTATCTATTGTTTCAAAAATATAAAAAATGTTAGCATTTTCTCCAACATAAAAGTGATATAAAATTACATTTTTTAACACAACATATGTTCACAACATTGGCTTTGAAACTAAAAATACAACTCTTATATAATAATAGGTTTAATACTTTTGTTTGGTTTTATGTATTAAAAAGTATTGGGGTTTTAAAAATGATTTTCCATCCCTTTGTCTAAACCATGTATTTTATATCCTTTTGAAAGTGATTTAAAGTTTTATATAAATGTTAACTTCAGACTAAAAACAAAATGGTAAAACTTTTCTCAATCTATAAGATACTATTAAATTCTACTTTATATTGTATTCAAACTGAATTATATAGTAATTTCCATTTAATACTCTCATTAAATTTATTAATCAACACTTTGAACAAATGATTTATTATCACTTAGAAAAAGTACAATAAAATTAATCTACAATAAAATTAACAAATAGCTAGTTTGTCTTAAATCATAGGCTATTAATGGATTTAATGGTCAATTATTTGGTTGATTAATTGCGAGACCAATACATGTGTTCATTGTATTCAATGTTTGTCACAAATATTTAAAATCAATTAACAATAATTATAGTTAATTACATTTTTGTTTAATTATTCAATGCAGTCATCAAAATACTGTATAACATTATTTTTGAACACAAATTTAGTTCATTTATAGTTAAAATCTTAGTTTAGTTTTAATTGATTTAGTGATGATTTCTGTTCATTGAGTTATTTATCATTTGATAATAAGTTTACGTTTGGTTTTCTTTATATGTTTTCACATTTAAGTGCTTTTTGTGGAAAATGATTGAAAAATATGCATAAAATAGTAATGTTTTTCCAATCAATGAATAATTCATTTAATCATTGGATTAATAAATGCTTATTATTGAACACAAAGTTTTGTGTTTGAATACATTTTTATCATTTACTAATAACTCGTTTATTAATAGACTTTTGTTTTCAGTCTTACAGTTAAGTCATTCACTGAATTGTGTTATAAACGCGTGTTTTAATTAATTTTGATTAAATTGTCAATAACTTGTGATAATTGAGTGCTTGTGTCCATTGGAGACATGGATTCACGAAGAAATCATATCTTGTCTGACGATATCTTGGGATTAATTTTCAATGAATTAAATGTGAAACAATTGTTGAGATTAGAGTCGATTTGCAATCAATTCGTGGATTGTGTCGGAAGTGCTCTCCAGAGGAAGAAAGGACTAAGAATTGGATACAAGAGTAGTGACTATAATCGCGGTTACCATTCATTGAGAGACAATGACATCATTGAAGCATTGGTTCCCAAAGACGCCTATCTTTACAATACATCAGTAATCATATATCTGAGTGAAATCAAAGACATACTGAATTCAATACTCGGGAAGTGTCTTAACGTAAAGTCTTTGGATTTTAAAGATGTTATAATTGATGGACAGATGGTATCAATGATTACTAGTCTATGTCCGCGACTGAAGAGATTGTCTTTGAACGGGTGGGACATCAATGTGTCCACAGAAGAGGTGATGATATGGAAAGCATTATTGAGTCAATTGTCTCACTTGACTCTCGAGAAAGCAGTTGACGATGACATCCGACAAGTGTTGCCACAATTATCATCACTGGAATCGATTGAATTCATTGATTTACATCACAATAATGCTGTCATCGATGAAGTGTTTGCATATTTGCCACAAAGTATTCGTTGTCTTCAACTAAAACATATGGGCGTTAGAAATGAGTTATCGTTGGATCTACTGATGAAGAGTTGTCCGCATCTGGAAGTGCTTTCTATGGGCCAACAAATGGGCCAACAATTCTACAATGTGTCGGATCAGGTGTTCCGGAAGATATGCGCCAATTGGAGACTCAAACGTTTGGCCATTCAATTGTTTGGATTGTCTTCCGATGTCTTCGCTGAACACATCCCAAAACTCAATGAATTAAAACATTTGTCTCTCAACTCAAACATTGATTTCAACACAAATGTCATGCAATCTATGCCTAAACTAAAGTCTTTGGGTTTAGAAAATGTTTTTATTTCTTCTCAATTGTTGTCTAATTTGAGACAAATCTGTCCAAACGTTAAGTATTTAAGTCTAAATAATATTGTAATCAAATGCGAGTGCAATGAAGAAAATGCGGACATCGATGACGACGACGACGAAGACAGCGATCACTGCAAACACTGTATTCACAAATGCATGCAATTTGTGGCACAATTAAGACAACTCAAGCGATTATCTATTGATTTTAAGTGGAATTTCCGTTTCATTAAATCCAAAGATTTAAAATTATTCACTGAATTAAAAGTGTTGTCTTTGAGTGGATATAAAAACATTGAGGAATTGAATGCTTTTATATTACATTGTATTCAATACAGGGTTTCGAAGAAGTATTTGAAACTTATTTTGGATCCAAATATTAAGGAAACACTTATTAATGATTTTAATGATATGATTATTACAATTTCTAAGAATATTGTTATTAAAACCAATTGTTTGAATATTTAAGATTCTAATTAATAAAATACTGAAACTAAAAATACAATTCTTATATAATAATGATTTTTATACTTTTGTTTGCTTTTATGTATTAAAAAGTATTGTGGTTTAAAAAATGATTTTCCGTCCCTTATGTCTAACTGTAAACCAAAGATTATATCGTAAAATATATATAAAACGATCATTTTATTGCATATTATATGACGATAAATTAAAAACACTATTAGTCCAGCCGTATATCATATACAATAGATGTATCAAAAATATTTTGCAAATATTGTTTGTCATAACAAAAACACTCGTAAAAATCATTTATCATTTTTCGAAACATCTATTTATAATATTTAATGTGATTTCTATATTAAAGTTATTGAATTTGATTTATGAAAGTTTGTATGTGAAAGTCGTTATTATTTACTCAACGAGGTATTTATCACTTACATAAACAACTTATATAACTTGTATAATAACTTCAATAATTAGACGTTTGAACTCTTTTATTATATTGTAAATTATTAATAAATATAAGGTATTTATTGATATATAATCTAATAAAAATATGGTTAATAACATTAAATTATCAAACGATACAATAAAAGTCTGGCAAGGTTAATTTTGTCACCAAATACAATGATTTTTATTTGTTAAAAATGTAAAATTCGCACCTGCCAATAAATTAAATTTAGTTTATATGGTTGGTTTATATTATATTTAATAAAATGATAAAAAGTTATTATAATAAAATACATGATCACGTAATGTCGGTTAAATTATATTATTTTAGTGTTTAATTATTTATTTGATAATAAATTGTGATATTAAAAATTTAATAAATAACCACATCTAATTTTATGTACACATTTGTATTTTAATCATGTGCTTATAAAAACAATATAATAACTATTTTATAATAATAATATTACTAATCTTATTAAATTAAATTAACCACCAATTAGATCACGCTCAAAAGTACTCATTAATAAGTTTGTACTCACACATAATTAAACACTTGGAAAATGTGTGATTAAATAAAATACATTGGAGTTTGATTGATTAATGTAAAATTATCAATTTACAATTTATTATGCTTTATCAATGTGGGCACTGATTATCACCATAAACAGTTTTGTAAATATTAGCGTAATGTCATAAAAACCACGATCTGTTTTTTTACTGCATTCATCACTAAATGAGTATTAAATTAATTATACATTAGTTGTGCTGAACAGAGTGTGAGTGAGAGAGACATCACAGCAACAAAAAACTTTACAAAAATGTTATTCAAACTACTTTTAATCAAATGTATTGTAATTACAACTTATTTAATAACTCTGTGTTCAACACAAACGCCAACCCGAGTCACAGTAACCAATGGCACAGTCGAGGGCCTGTCCTCAACAGTCGGCGATAAAACAATCTACAACTTCCTGGTAAAACACTACCGATAATTACCATAATTAATCTACCAACAATTATAAATACAGTATAACAAAAATAGTTTTAAAGTATAACATTTAATTATCACTAAATTATTACTAAAGTATTACAACATTTAATAATCACTTTTCGCTAACCATTTAATGTCACAAAAAGGGTATACCATTTGCTGAGCCGCCGGTAAATGAGCTCCGGTTCGCCAAACCCGTGCCGTTGCGGACCAAATGGCAAACCGTATATCCGGCCAAACAGATCACCGCTCAATGCGTGTCGCCGTTCAACACATCTAAACTGATCGCCGAAGATTGTCTTCATCTAAACATCTGGACGCCGAGCACTGCGGTCACCGCTAACCGGCCGGTGATGTTCTGGATATACGGCGGATCATTCATCATGGGTTCGGCCACTAAACAGGTGGACGGCTATAACATCTTCGACGGCCGCCAATTGGCCGCCAGGGATGTGGTGGTCGTCACAGCCAACTATCGGTTGGGTGTCTTCGGCTTTCTGTACGGCAACAGCAGTGAAGCGCCTGGAAATCAGGGTCTTTGGGATCAAGTGATGGCTTTGAAGTGGATTAAGGCTGAGATCAGGAATTTTGGTGGCAATCCGGACGACGTGACCATTTTCGGTGTCAGCGCCGGCAGTATGTCTGTCAGCGCTCACGTCGTTTCACCCGAATCCAGGTCTCTGTTCAAGAAGGGTATCATGCAATCAGGTATGAGGTCTGCCATCAAATGTTGTAAACAATAAGTGTTTACTCAATGACAATATTCATCCCATTCTTCAGGAGCCATAAGTCTGAGAGAAACGCCAAACAGTGGTCAGTCGGCGCTGCGATTCAGCCGTGACTTCGCCACCAATAAGACATATTTTCCGACCAATCCGTGCGCCAACACCACCGCCACAGCCGAGTGGATCAAATGCCTCAAATCTAAGACCACCGACGAGTTAAACAAAGCTCAAGAAGCGGTCTTTTATGCGACATTCACCGAGACTTCGGGCACACCATTCAAATCCATATACGGCGACCAATTCCTACCCAAAGACTTTAGCCGATCTCTGGCCGACGCGGACTTCAAAACTAACGTAAACCTATTGATCGGTCACTCGGAGATGGAGGGCGTGTCCTTCAGCAACGACTTTGACACGATGTTTGGCCTCAACGGCCGATACAATCCGCGATGGCTGTCGCCGGTAACCAAGGATCAGGTTTGGGCCGACATCCGGGCCTTTATGCCACTCCCGGCCGACACACAGCTTATGATAGCTAACGCTTATACGAATCAATTCCGGCCAAAGGATCAAAGTCTTGAGCTGACCCGAGCGGCCGCTCACGCGTACGGCGACGCCGGCATCACGTGTCCGACCGTTATATTCGGCGCCCAACTCGTCACCCATCGGGACTTTAAGGGATCGGTACACCAGTACCGGCTGTCGTACGCCAACTCTAAGTCCATATCGTATGACAGCTATTGGGCAGAGGCTGAGCACACCGATGAACAGCCCCTAGTGTTTGGCCGACCCCTCAATGAGCCCGACAACGGCTGGACAGCCACTGATAAGGAGATCAGCAAAACATTTGTGACTCTATGGACTGATTTCGCCAAAACGGGGTAAATTTTTATCACCAGTTTAATCCTGGTAATCATTAATTGTAATTCTATCATAACGTATCATTCATAGTAAGCTAACCATCGGTGGCCAGGAGTGGCCAAAATATACGGTCCGTACCGACGGCGCTGCAAACGTGTCGTACGTGGAGCTAAACCCACGGCTGAAGAACTCGTACGCCATTCGTGTGAACCGGTATAGAGGGGGTGACGACCCGACCGTCAAAGCCATCAATAATTGTCTGGACTTTTGGTTTGATATTTTTGACGCAAACAATGCCTCGGCTTTTCATTATACTCTCAAAGAGTTTGTGTTTTTATCGCTAATTGTGGCCATTGTTTATAAATTAAATCCCAAATATTTATAATTGTAAGTATTATTATTAAATTTTATTTGTAATAAATAACTGATTCATAAATAGTAATTATTTATCACGTTATTTAATGAATAAATTAGTAATTAATTAATTCAATGACGTGACTAATTGTACCTTATTTTTAACCAGATTAATCTAGGTTAGTTTCAATAATGGTATAAAAGCTTATTGTAATTCAATGTCATTTAACTAATACAGTATAAGCTATTGTTATAAATTACATAGTTTTAACTCAATTTAATAGTAATTTATTATAAATTATAATCAAATATTAATATTTAATATCATGTGTTTTGTAAAATATTGTCAAATCATTTTCGTAATTAAAATTAATTGCAAATCATCTAAAAAATTAATAAAATTTATTTTTTAACCGACATTGAACTCAAAACACATAAAAATATATAAATTACAATTGAATTAACTTTTACTAAAATCGCAAATATATGCCTTTTAATTAATAGTATTAATAATAATAAATATACAATAAATTGATTTATAAATAAAAAATAAAATATATTAATTAACAAAAGGGATTAATATTCTATAAAACAATTAATTAAAAAGTATTTAAAAAACTCTGGCCGTTAACGAGGGCTTAACGGGGCTTAACATCCCTTTGCGGACTCGTCTTCAGAGGTTCGCCACAAACTCGTAGTTACTCTCGAGTCGGGCCAAGTCTTCGCGGGCCGACACAAAGTCCTCCACTTCCATACCCGCACCGGTATAGTAGTGAACGTACGCCCGACTCGCGTACATCAGATCAAACTTGTGGTCGACTCGAGCCCACGCGTCGGCGATGGCCGGCGTGTTGGACAGCATACACACCGAGCGCTGCGCTTTAGCCACGTCTTCGCCCGGGACTACAGTCGGCGGTTGAGGTTTAATAACATACTATCCATAGAATGGCAATCATTAGCAAAATAATATTATAAAGTAATACAATAAGTGATGGATTGACACATACTTTATAATAAGGACGACACCAGTCGACGAACCGAATGCCGCGTTTGTCCTAAATGTCAGCTATGGCTGACTCCACGTCTGTGGGCACGACATCGCCTCTGTAGAGGAGACAACAGGCCATATACTTGTCGTGTCTTGGATTGCATTTCACCATTTGGTTCGAGGGCTCAAAGCAAGAGTCGGTGATCTCAGAGACAGTCAACTGCTTGTGTTGTGCATTCGCGGCGGCGATGACCGGAGAGTATGACACGAGCGGGAAGTGAATGCGCGGATAGGGAGCCAAACGGGCGGCGATGTTAGCCAAATGGGTGCCAAAGTAATCGCCGTCTAAACCCAGCGAAGCGGTAATACTGGACACGATTTGTCCGATGAGGCGATTCAGGTTAGTATAAGTGGGTCTCTCGATGTCCAGATCGCGGCCACAGATGTCATAAAGGGCTTTGTTTTCGATAATAAAAGTGCAGTCCGAGTGCTCGAGTGTGTCGTGCGTATAGAGGACAGTGTTGTACGGCTCGACCACAGGGCAGACCATTCTCGGGGCCGAACGGACAGCGAACTCAAACTTAGACTTCTTGTCGTAATCGGCAGACAAGCGCTCCATCAGAAGCGATGTAAAGCCAGAACCTGTTTCGCCACCCAATGAGTGCTGAATGAGGAACCCCTGCAGACCATCGCACTTATCGGCCAGTTTGCGGATTCCGTCCAAAATCATATCCACGATCTCTTTGCCAATAGTGTAGTGACCGCGAGCGTAGATATTGGCCGCGTCTTCCTTACCGGTGATGAGCTGTTCCGGGCGGAAGAGTTTACGATAAGCGCCGGTACGGACCTCATCGACAACACTGAACTCCAAATCCACGTAAAGAGCGCGCGCCACGTGTCGGCCCCCACCCGTCTCACTGAAAAACGTATTGGTCGAGTGGTCGCCGCCGCCGATGGTCTCCTCATTGGCCAGTTGTCCGTCGGGTTGAATGCCGTGTTCGAGACAATACAGTTCCCAACACGCGTTGCCCATCTGTACGCCCGCCTGACCCAAGTGTATGGAAATACATTCACTCATTGTCTGCAAACAAATACAATTAAATTGAAACAATAGGACAGAAAGTGTTGGCGAGAAATGTAGGCAATGGTCTCAATCACTCAACAAAAGTAAAACAAATGCTTTAAAAATAGGCGATTAATAAATATTTAAATCATAGGAAAAGTTTTACACACATGTATTTCTGATAAATTGTCTAATTTTAGTCATTAGTAGTGCATTCAATTCATATTTTTTTAAATATGAACGTCGGTTAATGATATGAGGCCAGGATTTGGGATCTATTCGAATCAAGAAGTAACAAATTCGTTGGCAAAAGTTATAAGTCAATATAAAATATTAAAAAAAATATTTGGGTTTTAAAAAAATATGCATATTTTTTACAATTTTCTGACTGTAAACAGTAAATTGTGGTCATAAATCATGCCTATGGCTTATATTTTTCGTGAATTCCCGAAATCAAAATATATAATATTTATTTTCCCAAATTTT